GATGCTTTAGCTACTTTGTCTTTAATGTTTCAAGTGAATGGTTGGAACGATGTGCCTACAATCCGGGTTATGCGCCTCGATAGACCTTCTCATGTGTTCTCAGTAGAAGAGGTTACCGACGACAAACCGTGGTTCTATGACATTAAACGTGTTCTTCAAACTCAAGAGTACCCGCCTGGGGCATCCAATAAAGATAGGAAGACATTGAGAAGATTAGCAAGCAATTTCTTCCTCAATGAAGAAGTATTGTATAAGAGGAATTATGACATGGTCTTGCTCAGATATGTAGACAGACGTGAAGCAGACATGCTGATGCAAGAAGTACATGAAGGATCCTTTGGCACACATGCCAACGGACATGCAATGGCTAAAAAGATGCTGAGAGCTGGTTACTATTAGATGACAATGGAATCTGATTGCTGCAAATATGTGAAGAAATGTCATAAATGCCAGATTTATGCGGACAAGATGCATGTGCCACCGACTCTCCTAAATGTTATCTCTTCACCTTGGCCTTTCTCTATGTGGGGCATTGATATGATTGGAATGATTGAACCAAAAGCTTCAAATGGTCATCGTTTCATCTTGGTAGCGATCGATCATTTTACTAAATGGGTGGAAGCAGCATCTTATGCTAACGTAACCAGACAGGTGGTAGTTAGATTTATCAAGAATCAAATCATTTGTCGATACGGCATCCCGAGCAAGATCATCACGGATAATGGTTCGAATTTGAATAACAAGATGATGAAAGAGCTTTGTGAGGAGTTCAAGATCGAACATCATAATTCTTCTCCTTACAGACCGAAGATGAATGGGGCTGTTGAAGCTGCTAACAAGAACATCAAAAAGATTGTCCAGAAGATGGTGGTAACTTATAAAGATTGGCATGAAATGCTTCCGTTTGCTTTACATGGATACCGTACTTCAGTTCGAACTTCAACAGGCGCAACCCCATTTTCCCTAGTTTATGGTATGGAAGCAGTACTCCCCGTGGAGGTTGAGATTCCGTCTATGAGAGTGTTGATGGAAGCTAAACTTTCTGAGGCTGAATGGTGTCAAAGTAGATATGATCAGTTGAATTTAATTGAAGAAAAGAGATTGACAGCATTGTGTCACGGTCAATTATATCAGCAGAGAATGAAGAAGGCTTTTGATAAAAAGGTTCAACCACGCGAGTTCAGAGAAGGTGACCTTGTGCTCAAAAAGATATTATCTTTCCAACCTGATTCTAGGGGCAAGTGGGCTCCGAATTATGAAGGACCGTATGTCGTTAAGAAAGTTTTCTCTGGAGGCGCCTTGATTCTCACAAATATGGACGGTGAAGAGCTCTCGCGCTCCATGAACGCCGATGCAGTCAAGAAGTATTTCGCTTAGGTTTGAGTTGACAGTTTGCTAAGTTGAAAACCCGAAGGGGCGGCTTAGGCATGTTTTTGGTCAAACCAGTCTTGGTATTTGAGCACACTTTGGAATTCGAAGTTGTTAGGGAGAATAGTGATCATTGTTTTGGTGTAACCCTTTCTTTCATGTACTATTTCCCAAACTTTTGTAAGCCGTTGGAGTCGCGTTGTTAGCGAACTACCATCTTATTAATGAAATTTGAGCATTTACCTTTTGTGGGCAAAATTTTAATCTTATGGAAATATTTGAAACACAATTATTTAAAATATTCTTATTTTAAAAATGTGTCGTGAATAATGAAAGGAATATTAACAGTTGTTCCGAGGATGGTCAAGCCATGAAATGCAAAACAGTACAGTAATTTATCCTTGCATGATGAACATGTTTCGTTTCAAAATCATCATGAGGTGTTGGTTGTGTAAACTTGCGTTTCTCGTGGTACTAAGTTTGGTGACTCCCCAGCTGTTCCAGTTAAGCGTTGTTTTGGTTACCTTTATTTGAGCAGATTTCTGAAGTGTGGTACGCTTTGTCTCATGCCAGTAGTCTATTGGTGTCAGAAGATTGGATTTGAATACTTTTCTCCTCAGAAGACTTAAGCCTTGTAACGTGATACGCTCTAACGTTGCTTTGTGGTTCCAGTTCCAGTTATTTTCCGTTTTTTAAGATTGGCCGAGTATCTATTATTTCGTGACATCTTATCGTCTTTAAGATATTCCATCTGTTCGTTTTGTCAGCATAACATTCGTTTACTCATTTACACTTATATCACGCATGCATATTCACATTTGCCGTTGATTTTGGGTTGTATACTTTGTTTATTAAGACAATGTACATGTTTCTTTCCAAGTAGAATGTTAACTTAGGCAGAAAATGTGCTTCCTTTCTAAATTCCCCAACTGAGCTAATCCTCGTGGATGATTTTTTTGATTTTTAGCCTACTTTGTCCATTTCGGGATAGGATGAATCCCCTAATCAAGTTACTTTCTCATTGGGTGGAGTCTTGTTTGACTGTTTTATCTCTGGTTTATTCCTGGAGGGAGTTGTTGTCTCTTGCATAGGCTATCTCATGATTTTCCCCAGTGAAGTCGCGACCTAGATGAATGGTGCATTTATTTTGCACCTTTAAGTATGTGATCTCCTCGGGAAGGATTGATTCATGGTTCTCTTTGACGAAGATTTTATTCTCTGCCAGTGTCATCGCAATTTCCTTCTGAGTTATTCTTCAGAAAACGGTAAGCGGCGGTCTCTTCATGGGCAACTTGTACGTTATTATTTTTTGGAAAATGGCAAGCGGCGGTCTCTTCATGAGCAACTTGTATGTTATTATTATTTTGGAAAACGGCAAGCGGCGGTCTCTTCATGAGCAACTTGTACGTTATAGACATCGTTAGAAAACGGCAAGCGGCGGTCTCTTCATGAGCAACTTGTACGTTATCATTATTTTGGAAAACGGCAAGCGGCGGTCTCTTCATGAGCAACTTGTATGTTATTATTATTTTGGAAAACGGCAAGCGGCAGTCTCTTCATGAGCAACTTGTACGTTATTATTATTTTGGAAAACGGTAAGCGGCGGTCTCTTCATGAGCAACTTGTACGTTATTATTATTTTGGAAAACGGTAAGCGGAAGTCTCTTTATTTGAGCAACTTGTACGTTATTATTTTTCTGGAATACAGCAAGTGGCAGCTTCTTTATTTGAGCAGCTTGTATGTTATAGTATTTTTGGAAGACAGCAAGTGGCAGCTTCTTTATTTGAGCAGCTTGTATGTTATTGACATCCCTGGACGACAGCAAGTGGCAGCTTCTTTATTTGAGCAGCTTGTATGCCATAATATTTTTTGGAAGACAGCAAGTGGCGACTTCTTTATTTGAGCAGCTTGTATGTTATGGACATCTTTGATACAGCAAGTGGCAGCTTCTTTATTTGAGCAACTTGTGTATCTACAACCATACTATTATCTCAGCATTAATTAGTATATCTCCGGAAATCTCGCAGAGAAGTTTGTTATGAATCTTTACCTTCAGAAGTCGGTAATCCATCGCCAGAAAAATTGACACTTTCTGTCTATCTTTGACCTTGAGTTGTGAACTTACTGTTATTTTGGGTCAATAATCTGTTTTTATGGCCTATGCAAGATGCCTTCTTTGTTAAGGTCAGAGGTCGTATTCTCTCAAATTTTTATTCGCCGTCAAGAGTCTATTATTTGAAGTCGATGGCTCATTTCCCCAGTAGTGTATAATCTATGTCTCTGTGTTTTGTTGATGTTTGATTTCTCCGGCATTGTTTCTGTCTCATACAGTATCATTCTCCATGAATTCAATTACTACATTCATATCACAAACATAATGGCGGTATCTTAGGGCAAAAATTGCGTATTATGTATTTAAGTACCTTCAATCTCGTCGAGACGAAGATTTTAATCTTCATATCTCCGGATAGAAGAAACTTAAATAGGGGCAGCTGTCATACCCCAATTTTTGACCTAAGATCCCACCTCCCATCTGTGTCATTACATAGCAAGCGTTCACAAGCGTTTTGACCTATTTTGCCATTTTTTTTCTCGGGTCAAATTTCAAAATTCATAACTTCTTCGAATTTCGACATTTTTTTAGTGGTTCTTTTACACGTGATTCTCCTTGACAACAACTACAACTTTCCTTTAGAAGTCAAGAGATGATTATTTTTTGAAACGCCACGAAAGAATGAAAACGTTAGAAGTCGCTTTATGAATTTAATGAAATTTGATCATGTCTTGTCCAACCTTTACCAATTGTGCATATCGCACATTTTTTCGTCTTGTATTTATCATTTTTGTATTATTTAAAAAAAAAATCTAAAAAATGTGTATTTTAGTTCATGTCACTTTTTACTATTGCATTATTAGAAAAATCATAAAAATATTTATAATTAGCATTATAGTATTTTAAATTCGCAATTCTTAATACAAAAAAATATAAAAAATTAATATAGTTTTATTGGTTCCATTTAGATTCATGTTTCAGTATAAATTTTAATCCAAAGAAAATCTCAAAAAAATGTAGTTAATATCTTTTCTTTTATTTTACATTTTTTGATTATTTTTAGTCATTATAGTTTTAGTTTCTTTTAATCTAATATCAAAAATATAGTTCATACCATTTTACATATTGCATTTTTATTTAATTAATAATTAGATTTGAAATTGAGTTTTTATTTCTAATTATTAATTGACTTTTTCATTTGCTTTTTGCTTCAATCATTTTTGTATTTTTTGCATTAATAATCGATTTTTGTCATTATTGTCTTACTAACAATTTGTTTCTTTTGTTACTTTATTGCTATTATTATTGTTGGGCCTTTTATCTTTTTGTCATAATAAAAAATAGCAATTTTAAACTACTACTAGAGGTTCACACGGAATACACAACCTTCATTTCAAATGTTACTGTTACATTATGCTAAAAATGGCTCAGCTAAAGTATACCAAGAAAAAGAAAGACTGTTTTAGCACTAATAGAGTTTCATCCAAAACTGGCCAAAATAATAAAAAAAACGGGAATTACAATTGGCAAAATATGGAAAACAGTTTGCTACATTCCAAAAAAAACTCCTATGCTATGTTATTGCTGTCCACACAAGTCCAAACTACTGCTATTTGCTGCTCTGAAATCTTGCTTTGTCCCTATCTTTGAGGTCCAAATCAACCCTGCTGCAAGATGCCAAAAACCTGTCAAGCTAGGCCAGATTTCACAAAAATGGTTAAACATTCTTACATCCAAAAAAAGAATAGATCAGAAATGTTCTTAATGGACTCAATATTCTAATCTTGTTACTATATAATTTAGAGCTTTATCACAGTAGAAGAAACCTTTTTTTGGAGAGAAAATTGGAGAGGAACAAAGAGATTGTTTTAATTGTAAGAAGGAAGAAAGCCTAAAGAACAAAAAGGGAACTTACTCAAGTGAAGCAACTGGGGTCTGGGATTTCTTTCAGCACCTCTAAGCCCTTCATCACATTCATACTCATACTCCCTGCACTTTCAAACCCTGCTGTAAAAACTCTCCAACAGGTACCATTTTTTCACCCTTTCTTTTTGCAATAAAATAATCACATCCCTGTTTTTGTTTCATTTTTTCTGAACCAATTATTTTCTGTGAAATCGTTGTGATACTTCTATTTCATTGTTGTTATTGAATAGCTTGAACTGTAAAAAAAATAAACTGCAAGCCTGTGACAAATCGAAAAAACATGAGAGCTGTTAACACCTAAACATAACTGTTGAAGGGTTATCACCCAAATCAACCACAACACTTTCAAATAAGCAAAACAAAATTAATTCCTAAAATAATCGCATCAGTAGCCACATTAATAGCAACCCTATAATATACAGATTAAGAATTGAAGCGAAAACAAAAATTTGAAAACATTTACCTCTTCATTCCTAACCTGCTATCATTCGCACGCCACTAGCCTTATCACCCCAACAGAACTGCCTAACATCATCACCATCAACAGTTTTGCTTCTGTCGCTAAACATTACTGCATCTTCCTCCATCCTCTCTTCCATGTAGCTACCCACCCGACATACTCTACTCTCCCTCTGTTCTGCTACGAACAACAAACCCCTCCACTGCTCTTCCAAACCAGCGCAATCACTGTGATATTCAACCAAAAACATATTCAAAACAGATCAAATTCAAACAAATCTCTCAAAACCGCAACCTTATTTCAAACCCTTTGTAGATCTACCTTTACTGCAGCCCTAACAATAATCATTCACCCTAAAAAAAACGATCAACACCATACCGGAAAGACACGTCCTTTTGCACCTCAGATTCAACAACATACCAATGAAAAAGCAATAGACACAAAGAATAACACCGAAAATGAATCTCAGAAAATAAGAAGAAGACACAGAAGGTAGAAGAAGTAACATTAACAAAGTGAATACCTCTTTCTATTGATTTATTACATCATCATTATAACAGCAGAAAAAGCGCCAGACTCGACTCTGGTAGGTAAGCCTTTTCTGCTTCTTTAGCATCTGATGCATATCGTTGTTTGTTGAATCCGTAAAGAAGAGCGAAAGCGTTTTGTTGGTGATCCAAGGCGACGGATTGAAGGAGAAGAATGAAGGAGATGGAATTAGAGTGCAGTGGCGGGACGAAGTCACAGTGTCACTATGAAGAGGACTGGCGGCGGAAGCAAAATTGGAGAAGAAAGAGAGTTTCACGTGAATCTTGAGAGAGAGAAGCGTTTTGGCCTTTACTAATAGATTGTTTTTTTCCAAATATTCTGCTTTAATAGAATTAATTGAATTAAATATGGACCAATTCTCTAAAACAAGAATGCAAACAGCTATTAACTTAAGTTTCTAGGGTTTTTCCTTTGTGTGTTACAATTCTGTTGGGCTTTACCTTGACCCGAGCCCAACAGATTCACCCAGCCCAATCCGAATTCAACGTACACACCCCATAATTATGTTTTATACTTTTGTTTCAATTGAATTTATTTCTATTCCCTTTGCTTAGTTTTTATTGCTTATCAATTTAGTTTAGTTTTATTTATTAAATTTTCTTAGCTTTTATTCGTTTAGTATAATTAGTAACTTTAGAATTCTTATTTAGTTTAGTTTTGTAACTTTATAATTTTATTTTGTCTTAGTATTATTTTAGTAACTTTAGGATTTTATTTCATTTAGATTTGATTTAGTAAATTTTAGAATTTTATTTGTTTTAGTTTTATTTTAATAACTTTAGGATTTTATTTCATTTAGATTTGACTTAGTAAATTTTAGAATTTTATTTGTTTTAGTTTTGACTTAGTAAACTTTAGAATTTTATTTTGTTTTAGCTTTATTTTAGTAACTTTAGGATTTTATTTGTTTTAGTTTTGACTTAGTAAACTTTAGAATTTTATTTTGTTTTAGTTTTATTTTAGTAACTTTAGGGTTTTATTTCATTTAGATTTGACTTAGTAAATTTTAGAATTTTATTTGTTTTAGTTTTAATTTAGTAAACTTTATAATTTTATTTGATTTTATTTAAGTTAACTTTAGAATTTTAGTTGTTTAGAATTAGTTTAATATTCTTTTATAATTTTATTTGATTTAGATTTAGTTTAGTAATTTTGGAACTTTTTTTGTTTTAGATTAGCAACCTTGGAATTTTTATTTAGTTTAGATCTAATTTTCTAATATTAAAATTTTAATTTAGTTTAGATCTAGCGTAGCAATTTTAGAATTATTTTTATAACTTTAGATAACAAATTAGTTTAGAATTATTTTAGTAAGTAATCTTATAATTTTGACTTAGATAATTAGTTCCCTTTTCTTTTATTTAAATATCTTTGTCATTTTAATTTCTCGATGCTTTTGGTCATTAATCTGTTTCATTAGATTTGTTTTCTTGTGAATTTTTGAATGCTTATACTTTATGAATTCATCTTATTTTACTTGCTCGATTTAATCCAAGGGAATTGTCTAATTTTTTTGTCGACTTTATATCATCAAAAAAACATCGTGCGAATACCCTCATTCATTAAAAACATAGGATAATTTTCCCAAATATCCAATTTCTTCAAAAACTCACACCTTTTAAGTCAAAACTTCGATATTAGGTCTTCGTATCTTCAAAAACTCATTCATACCCATTTTCGGCCAAAACAATTTATTTTTAATCAAACAAACATTTTAATAAACAGATATTTCAAAAAGGTTCGTATAGAATACTATAGATACATTGGGTGCTAATACCTTTCCATTGTATAACCAACCCCCGAATCATAGACCTCTTTTCAAAAAACGCCTTGTATTTTCATTACTTTTAAAAGTATTATTTACATTGCATACTTTAGGGTTTTATTTCGCTCTTTCCCCTTTTCCCTTGGAAATAATGAAGCGCGGTGGCGACTCTTGCTTTTGTGAGACGAATTAATTAATAGTTCGATCTCCGATTTACCCCGCTACATTTTTTATCGCTACACCTCCGTGTTGTTTATGTTGTGGTGAGAGATCGTCGACATAGAGTGATACAGTTGATATCTCACAAAGTGTTAGAGATGACCTCTGTGTGAGTGATACGTGATGATATTGATGAGTAGTTAAGGTTAAGTGCAACTGGGTAGTAAGTTTAAGTATTTGATAGGGTGGACTAAATAAAAACTCGAGAGTTCTTTACTAATCGAAGAATGAAATTATTTTTATGTCTTTAACTTTTAACTCCTGCACCTTACAAACAAACTCATTCTTTTTCCAAACTCATAAACGCAAGAAATTTGTCGAACGGAGAATCAATAACCAATCTCTATGGACACGATACGATATAACCTAAATATCACCCGGTAAATTAATAATTTACTTTTTGCTTGCCGCTATACAACATTAACAAAATGACACCGTTGTCGGGGATTGGTTCTATTTTTTTCACATTATGATAGTTTCTTTGTTTTTGAGTTTTGTTATTAGTGTATATGTTGTATAGAAATTGTACATTAACTTGTATATGATACTTGTGCATATATGTGTGTTTTCTTTGTTTTCACGTATTGTTGTGAATTGTCTCGTTTTCGTAACATTTGTTGTGTGGATGTTAGGATTTTCTTTAGGTTTGCACGGTGTGACAATACCATGGCATGACGAGAGGAGTTTACTATCTCTCACAATAAAGGCGTCGAGCTTACGACATAAAACAAGCATGTTGTATTGTTTTTTATTTTATTAGTTTATGTATGTGTTGACTTGTGTTTTAACAAGTTGAACTCGGATTAGTTTTTAAATTTCAAATTTTCACTTTTCAACTTGTTAATACACTTTGGAATTATTTGTTTCGTTGTGTTAATTTGTGTTTTTCCACAAGCTTGTCGTGTTTAGCTTGTGGAAGTTTGTATGTTGTAAATATTTTGTACATAGAGTGTGTAGGTGCTTGTGGAGTTGCATAGCAGCTACACCAGATGCTGCTGTCCTGTTTTTTTCATCTGGTGTAGCACGCTCCAGGCCGCTTAGCACGCTCTGCTGTGCAGAACCAGTGAATTATTTTAATTTTTTCACTTGCTTTCCTTTTTCCCACTCTCACTTAGGCTTTTAAATTAATAAATAATAGAGTTATTTTTCTAATTCTTTTATTTGTTGTTTGGACTCCGAATTTGGTCCGATTTCTTGAGGAATTTTGAGGGGATTTTCCAAGTCTGTGTGTTTCAACTTGAAAATGTATGGTAATGATAGTTTTTTGAAGTTGGTACACATTAGGTACTCATTTATCGCTTTCTAGAACATAGCATGTTTAGGAGACTTTCTTTTTTACAAAATTTCATGTCATTCATTCTTTTGCAATTTATGTTCACTTTTGAATCACTTTAGGACTAAACCACTTGTGAGGTTTCTTTCCATTGTTTACTATATGCACGGGAGTCCGACAATCTTGTCTTAACTCAATTTTATTATGTTTAATCTTGCACTTATGTTGATTCGTATGAAAGCATGAAATTATAAAGGCATTTTGTTTGATTTTGAGAAAAACCACCTAACCAAAAGTAATTCACCATGTGAGTGAGCGATCATTTATAAACACATTTGAGACTTTTAGTTAGAATTCGTCATGGATTCTAATGTCTTTTGTTGGTACTTAACCCCAACCATGTATTGTGGTTGAATTTTTCCTTGCCTTAGAAAGTGGAAGCAATTTATCACTATGTGTGGTCGTGTTTAAGTTGGGGAGAGCAATGTTACTTGTTTATAAGATGGTAGTTTAAGGTTGAAAATAAATTGCATGGTGAAAAAAGTATAGAAAAAGAAAAAGAAAGAAAAAAATATACAAATAAGTGATGTGTGTTTGTGTAACAATTGAGAGTTGAAAAAGTTGATTGAGTGATGCTTGAGACTTTGTGAATTGATCACTCCCATAGGATTAGGCATGGTTGTTTGTTTCAATTACCTCTAGATATTATACCTTCCTTGTTACCCAAGCCATATTACAATCCTTGAAGCCCTTGTGATTTTGCTTTTGTGCTTTTCAATATGAATTTGCTTTGATGAATGCATAATTTAGTTATTGTTAGCAAGATTATTGAGTGAGAGTTGAGCACCCCATGTTTGCATTTTTAATCTACCGATGAATTGTGTTCTAGGTTTGATTCACTTGTGAACATTGTATTGTTTTAGAATTTTTTAAATGTGCTTTGTATTTAGGAGTTGTTTCACTTTCATGTTATTGTTATAGTTTAGTGGTAAGTTTTGCCTTGTATGCAGGTTTTTATTTTTGAACCATACATTTGTTTTCCGTTTTTAAAACCTGTTGATTCGTAATTTTTTTATTATTGTTTATTTGTTCTTTGAGTTGTTTGGTCTTGTTTGAGGATAAACAAGTTCAAGTTGGAGAGAGTTTGATAAGTGCAAATTGTAGCTATTTTTGTATATAAGTTTTCTTGCACTTATCGATACTTTTATTAATATTCTTTAAATAATTCCCCGCTTTGTTTGTAAATACGTTTACTTTGCAAATAATTATGTTTTTATTTAAATAGTGTACCGTTTGATAGTTTTGGTCAATTTTGTAGGTATTTATTGCATATTTGGAGCATCCAGGAATAAGGTGTCAAAGGCAAAGCTCCGAATGTACATTTCCAGAATAAAAGATCAGTTATGGGACTTGCTGTCCAGGAGAGCTCACTTAGCACGCAAGA